ACCTACGCGTTTAACTATATCTTCTGATATAATTGCAAGTTCGGCTCCACTATCAATCACCATTGCTGAGATTTTTAAGCGCTTGATTTTAACTGGTATGGTCGCAATACTTGTATTGGGTTCTTCCTTTTTTACAAAATCAATCTCCATAGGATCATCCAACGTCTCCTCTTCCCCATCCGAGGAATCAAAAATTCGAGGCTTTGCCTCATCGGGTATTTCTTGAACTGGTTCTCTATAATTTGTGAAATCTGATTTTTTGGTAGATGAATACAAATCGGATGAGTTCTCAATTTTAACTCTGAGTTTCTCTATCCAATCTATGGGTGCAATGCCATCAAACATATCTAATACCATTTTTTGGAAAGACTTATCAGCGGAACCGGCACGGCCAATAACAGTCGATTTATTTCGGGATTTATCAGAAGTGGAAGCATTTTTCTGTTTCGATTTGCGGGATTTGGGCGTTTTCTTAGAGGACGATTTACTCATCCGCTTTACTTTTTTTTTGCCTTGGTAATATGAACTTTGACATCGCTTTCAGACTCAGAATCGGAGGAGACATTCTCGGCATCAGACCCTGTCTCAGAATTAGATTCATTGTCGGAAGAGTTAGTATCTGAACCCGATTCAGAACTTGAATTTACAGTAGCAATATTGACTGTATCTTTCTTCTTAGACCCGCTCTTCTTTTTATTTTTCAGACATTTAGGAGAATTTGAATGATGACCAGTTCTATGGCATCCTGAGCACCTGTGTTGGGACGATTTTTTCTTAGCTTTTTTAATGGCTTTAGCTATATGTAATTTTAATTGTCTTTTTGTAAGATTGGCCAGCTCTTCGTCTGAATCGACTTCGACGTTTTTTGAAGCACTCCCCCCATTTTTCTTTGAAAACCTATCTGATAATTTTTTATAAAGATCGTTGGCTAGAGATTCCATAATTTGACTAGTTGAAGGGGTTGGATTTATGATATCGGCATGAATATACTTTTCAGAATTTACCCCATAGCCATCTGGAGGTCTTTCCGGCATATATTTATCTGGTACTCTAGGATAATCGTCAGAATTGGGTTGTCTTTGCTGGGGGTGTTGAACCTGTGTTTGCTGGGATTGTGGAGATGACATCATAGATTTTATTAAATTTCTGGTTTCGGCTTCAGTTAAACCCCTATTGCTTGAGTAATTATCTTTTTCGCGAGATTTAGATGGCGATTTATAACTAGATCGGGGTATCTTGGTAACCAATCCTAATTTTTTCTCTACTCTTCGCATTTCAATTCTCTCTAGGGTTTCAAAAAGATCAGATAATGGCTGTTCAGTACCAATACGTTCTGCGTCTTCTTCCAAATCTGGAGACAACCCTCGTAGAAATTGGCCTTTGATTGATTCGTCATCAAGGTGAAGCATTTTTCCGTATTTGATAAGCTTTTTATAAAAATCCCCTATAGGTTCGCCCCCTTGAGCTAGTGACCCAAACACTAGATTGCGTTTCTCGCTAAGTACAGTAGGATACTCATTTTTAAACCAATATAATGCTTGACCGATTCGGATATCAGCAAATACTATAGGGTTATTATTACCCGCATTAATACCATTAACAGGTCTATCCGATGGCCGACCTCCAGCTAGTCGCCAATCTTCAGTAAAAGCTTCTGCCGGAATTATTGAATCCCCTACTGTTACTGCATTATTTCCACTGACATTTGCGTAGTCATGAGCTATTGAAGGATTTCTAAAACTGTTACTAGTAACCATTTGTGCCATAGTTCGAGCTCGAAGAGCAGCCATACCGGCTTGTCCATGATTTGCAAGAATATTATGAACTTCCCAATTTTTACCGAGAATTTTTCGATCAAACCAATCTAATGCCCGTCCAGATAAGCATCCTCTAAAAATGCCAAATGCTTGATCCCGATTAGCAAGTGGATCTATAGCAACACCTGCGAAATATGATGATAGTCGGCTACAGAAAATATCAATGTCCTTATCATGGTCACCTGAAAAATTTGGCAATGGTAATGGTTGTAATGCCATATTCACTTGATTATTTATAGGTAAATTATTCTGGAGCGTAAAAATTTGCTGATTCAAATTCAAAATTAATTGCTGTGAATTGCGCTCTCTATTTTTCCACTTGATATGACTCGCCTTACGATCCTTGAATTTATTATAATATCTATCAAAGAGTCGATCTCGATTATATTCTAGTAATCCTTTATCGGCCTGGCATTGTTGTAATTGTTGTCCTTGCAGACGATACTCGCGTCTATAATATACGTGTTGCCCAAATCCCAAATCATTTGGGATTTGGGATTTGGGATTTGGGATTTCGGCAAAAAATACTAATCATAATTTGGGATTTGGGATTTGGGATTTTGGCAT